CGCGCCTGGGGGCCTGGGAGGGAGAGACCCTCCGAGGAGCGGGGCCTCCGGGCCGCCGCCTCCCGCTCGGAGTCCCTCTTGTCGGGCCGCGGCAGAAAGTCGGGGCGCAGAGGCGCGCACGGCTCTGCAGCGCTGCTCCTGCGTCCCTCTGTGCCACCACGAGCAAATCCCTGTGAGGAGTGAGGTTGGGGAGGCCGAGACGCGCAGTTCAGCCCCCAGACAGGCTGCGTTGTTGTGCCTTGGCTGGGGTGCTGCCCAGGGGCCTGTATTCCCTGCTTCCAACACGAGCGATGGCAAAAAAATAATTATGCTTCTCACTGTTTACTGTGTTATCATTACAGATCTGACTATTTGGCACCTTTCTATCCATAAATAGTTTTTTTTTTAATGCCAGCATTCAGATCATTGGTTGGGACCCCATTTTGCTGCATCACAGACACTAAACAGCTCCTGTCCCCAAAACCTTGCAGTCTAGCTTAATACAAATTCATTAAACAATAAATGAGAATGTGAACCTACTTGGTCAAATAAAGTCTATGCCTGATGTCTTCATGAAATGTAAAGTTCTGTATGTATGCATTGTATCAATATACATGCATTTATACATATATTTAACTTCACTGTCGAGTCGTAAATCCTTGCATTTCTTTTTGATCTCTTTCCCATTCACATCTATGGCCAACGTTCATCCATCTTGGGCTTGCTGCCTGTAACAGTTGTCACCTGCTTTTCTGTTAAGGGGGATGTTTGATGAGATGGACAGCATGCAATCCCACCCATTAATTTCACTTAAATCTCAGGAAAAGTGGTCCATGTTCCTGAAGGTGAGCACCTCTCTTCAAGGCGGATCACACAGAGCATGCAGGGGTGACCACACACTTTTTGCCTGTGCTGTCACCCGTCACTGTGTCTTGCTCTGAGTCTCCCTGGAGTATTAGGAGTGTTCAGGCTTTGCAAATTCATGTAATCACGGATATTTTTACAGCCATTCGTTGTACTAATATTTTACGATACAGCTGTCGGACCAGTAAACCCTATAACTGCAACCCAAACTCATTTCATGCAAGTCAGAGAGGCAACCTGAGATCCTAATGAATTTCTGCCACTGTCAACCATAACTGGATTCAAACCAGATGCTGACGGCTGAGAGGCTCTTTAGCCTGTTATGGATCTTCTAAGCCACCCAGTCTCCAGTCTCTGCCTGTCTTGACTGAAGATTATCATAAAGGAAATCTATAGCTTAAGGAAATTCATCCTGGTTTGGTGAAGTCTGGTGGGTAACTGTACTCGGCCTTGCTTTGTCTTGACCCCAATTACTAAATGCCGATAAGGATCGGGAAGTAAGTGGTTGTATTATTTAACAAATGAAAGGTCAAAAGCGCTGCCATTCAGCAAGGTCAGAGGTTACCATCACTGTTATTAAACAGTTCGAAAGCAGTTTTGCTCATCAGTTTCCCAACCAAGAAGCAGCTCAGGAGTCAAGCAACCAGGAGGGAAATACATAGGCAGGAAGCATCATTCGGATGGTCTCTGGTTAGGTGGTTTTCCCTCAGCAGGGAGGGAAGTTCCCATGCTCCAGCAGGGCACAGCAGTCTCCTGTTGGAGCACCAAGTCCTCCTGGCTCTATCCAGGATGGACACGTACCTGCACACCACACCGTTTAACCTCCGCTCCATTCAGCCCTGTTGTCCCATTAGAACTGGCATCCTCTGGTGTGAGAAATCAAACTTGGGTTCCCCGGCACTTATCCTGGGCAAGATCCTGAAGTTCATAGGACCATCTGCCTGGTCAAATGCAAACATCTTGATCTGACCAGGTATGTGTAAGTTACTGCTCAGTGCACGGTGGTTGCTGTATGCCTTGCATGGCTTCATAAAGCACTTGGAAATGCCTTTAGTGCAGTAGTAGGAAATTAGCTCATGTCCTTCATGGTCACCTTCAGCTGAGGATGAAGAAAAGCAAATAGTGAGCCAGTGGCCTGATCGTGTCACTTTTCTATTGGTACAGATTGTGAAGGCTGCTCTTAAAAGAGTCTTTCAGGACAAATGCAACATTGTCCTGGGGTCCACTAGGCCATCACTGTTCTTAAGCTATGCTCCTGCCTATGGTCCTGGACACTTCTTCTTATGGTGAGGACAGTCTGAAGTCCATTCTTGCAGAGCAAGATGCACATGGGGTTTAATCCTCCCTAATGTTCTAAGTCTGATCTTCCTCCTGATTATCTCAAAAGTTCAGACTTCACTGGCTTCAGAAATACTGTGGCTCTCCATGCTTTTTTTTTCTTGCGTGCACATCACTACTGGGTATGGTAGATGTGGCAGTAAAAGATAGTAAATAAAAGAAGGTTCAGAGTGCTTCTCAATAAGGAAGGCATGATAGATGGCTGTATAACTGAAGGGGAGGAGGCTGTGAGTGATAAACAGTTGAATAAACTTCAAGATCTGTGAGGTGAAACCTTGAGCCATGCTGAGCATAAAATAAGGAACTGGAGCTGTGTAAACCTTGAACAGCAATAGAAGGGACCGGGAATGTCCCTGTTTCTTATGGTGCAGACTCTTTCCTCTGTCTTCGAGATTGTACCATATGTGGAAAAAATTATGAGAACACTTTGGTTGCAAACTGTTAGAAGAAAAAAGTGTTTTTTTGACTTGTCCAGGACTAATTGTCACTAAATGACACGTAAGTTAGCTGTGTACCAGTACCAAGCAATTTGGAGAGGAAGGAGTGGAAGTGCTTTCTGTACTGCAGGCTGGGGTTTGCCCACAGCTGGAGTTCTCAGCTGCAGTAGCATTCTCAAGTAACAAGTTAGCACGAAACCAGGCTAGTAGGTCAGGATGAGAACAGCTGTGCTGAGATAAAGAGGAAATCTGTGGAGAGGCTGTGGTAAGCTTTCCCTTGAGACTCTCTTTGACGTTGCATGGACAGGCAATATGTCCAAAAAAAAAAAAGTTATCCTGCCGTAGTCAAACAAGGCAGGCACCAGAATCAAATAACTTTATTGCATTTGCAATATGAAGTTTTCTATGTCTTTCAGTTTCATTTCATGCTTTTCCTTATGCCCCTAATAGCCCCCATCTTCCTGATGCCTGTTGGCACAGGGCACAGGTGAAGAGTTTACTGGGTAAAAAGCACCAATGTGCTGATATATCATCTTGCCTGGGCATCACGTTGCTGCCTTTCTTGCAGCTGGTTACTGAGCACAAACACCTTCCTTTGTGTCTTCCAGGTACCCAGAGGAATGAGATGCAGCCCTCTGACCTCACACCCGCTAACCAGCCAGTCAAACTGCCTACATGTGTGTGGGAGGATGCTCTTTGGGAAGCCCTGGAAGGGGAAAACAGCACCGTGAGAAGCTGCTCTGGAACTGCAGTCCTGACTGTAGTTAGGCTTTAGGAAGATTTAATGTATGTATTGCATATGAATACATTTTACTTGAGATACTCTAAGAAGATGGGCATCTTCCACTGCAGCTAAGATTGCAAGATTCTGGGTTTGGTGCTTTCCTAGTTGCAGTTTGCTTGCAATGATCTCTGGATCAGGATTTACGAGTTCTGTTTGGGGTGCTAGCTGACACCCAGCTCATTTCTCTAAGTTGTAAGTGCTGTAGTGAGAGCTGGAAGAGCATGTGTAAAAATGTCTTGGTCCTGAATGACTTAGGGTCTTCAGAAACATGACCACGGTCATAAATGGCACAGAGAAACAAATCAGCAGCCATCTGGGTAACGTGCAAGAAAAGCATATGGTCATTTGGCTAGCTGGCCATGGAGTAAGCATTTCTGCACTACGATCTGAGAGCTCAGAGCAGAAGTGGGGAAATTAGTCCAGAGAGGCTCAGTAATTGAAGATGAAGATTCCTTTTGGGAATCCTATTTGCAACACCATTTTCTTTTTCAAGATGACATTTTCCAACCTGAAATTTCTGCTCCGTCTCAGGCACCCTCTTAGAACTATTATCTTTAAAATTATGCAGGAGGTAGGGACTATCTTAGGTGGGGATGGGTGGCATCAGATGATTGCAGACTAAGTCTGAACTTTCCTCCCAGAATGGTGTTTGTGTTGCTGTCCTGGGGTGCTGGCAGTCTCCATGCAGCTCAGCCATCCCCTCAGTAAGGCTTTTGTGTTTGTGGGCATCTACTCTCGCTGCCTGTTGCTGAAACCCTTAGTTTGAATAACCCAGCTTCATTATGTTGACCCTTTCTGTGTAGTTTATTTTCTTTTCCCAGTAATAAAATCAAACGAGGTATTTTATATCTGCGAGGGGAGGAAAAGAGGGTTCCCTTTCCTGCGTGCGCTGCAGAGTCTGTTTCCCTGCTCTCTCCCCTCCACAAGTAGTGCCTTCCTCTACTCAGCTTTGCAGGCGAGCTAAGAAAGGAGGGTTTTCCTCGTCTTTACTGCGATACCAAGTAATATGTTTGGAAAAAATGCTACTCATCTGAAATCTCCAGACTTTCTTTCCCATATGAGTTCAAATCTGGGCTGAGAATGAAGAAATCTGAGATGGCCCAGGAGAGAGACCAGCAGAGACCTCAGCCTAAACTGTTTGAATAGCTAATACCCTTTCCAAATACTGGCACCTGGGAATCCTTTAATGACTTGGATGGTGCTTTGAGCAGACAATATCTAATTTCAAAAACAAATACCTATTATTATTATTTATTTATCTGCCTTAAATCTTACAAGCAGTTAGAAAGTAACCCTTTTTTTTTTTGCATTATGTTTTCACCTCTCTGCCGGATATCAGGAGGCCAAAATGTGCTCTCATTTACTCTTGTGTAATAACTAGTGTAAGTCTATCTGTACTAGGGCAGATACTTTTCTTAGTTTTTCTAAGAGCAGAATTTGTAACTATTCATGTAATGAAATGATAAACACATACTGCCCTTTCAGAAGGGGATTTTGTGGGGGAAAAAAACAAATATTAAATGGATGTATATTCTCAGCATAGCTACTGAAAAGCCAAGTCAGCATTTGTAGATGGAAGGGGAAGAAGTGTCATTAAAAGAAGTAATAGACCATCCTCCAAAAGGTATTGTATCCTGTGTGCTGCGGAATTGCTGTAATCAGCTGAACGTTTATTGACAGATCTCTGATAGGACATTTTTTTTCATTCTTGTCTGTTTAGAGACCTCTGCTAGATCTGAAGAGATAGTATAGTCTGTGGATTCCTGAA